TGATTTAGCTGGGTTAACAAGGGTCAGCAATACTGCCATGTAGCAGCAGAGACAGTTGCAGCTTCATATAGCTTCATAAAGACCTGCAGTGAACCATTACATTTCTTACACGCTTCAGTTCATGTTAGAAAATACAGAGCCCATTCACGACTACAATTAGCTACATATTCCACACTCTCTTATTCAATTAAATCCTACAGAGGTTGGTATTGTGTGCCTTTGCTCTATTCAGCATGGCATCTTTGTCTGCATGTTACTTTGTGTGCAACCTTTCTAATAAGTGCACATTTTTTAATCCTACTACTTGCCAGACCTTTTTTCTTGATGTAGCTCGCTTCTGCATGACTGACAACATCTGACTGAGCGGCGCTCCACGCCATCCTGTGCTTGTCCACACACACATCACTCACATCATTATGTACTGAAACAGCACAGAGTGGGTGGTGAGCGCTGACTGACAATCGATTTTGAGCGAGAGGAATGTGGCTACGAACAGTGGCCATTCAGCTTTGTGACTGTAAAGGAAAACAAAAAGCTTAACGTCCACACCGAACCGTCCACTCTTATCGGCGCATTCTACTTGTACAAAGTTTCATAACTTAAACATGTTTGTGTATTTGTTTTTCTCCTCGCAGTGTCTGGAACGAGCCATGAAGTTTTCATTCAACGAGTTTCACCTGTGGCACCAGCTGGGCCTGTCACTCATGGCCGCCCGGAAAGTGAGCTCATTTCTCCGTTTAAATCAAACACCACATCACACCCAAAGGAGATAGCTATCTTCTATCTATTCTATCTATTCTATCTATCTAGGTATTCATGGCAATGAAATGTAATCTTAAAAAGGCACATTTTTTAAATGGGAGTCCTCAGAATACCTCACAGTGCTCTTTCAGTCTCTAAGTGTCTGTGTCTGCGTGTGTGTGCGCACAGAGCCATGTGTGTGACAGAAAAATTGATGTGGATTGCATGTGATAAAGTGACTGCAGATCAATGGTGAGATCTAGAAATAGGCTGCTCCCTAGAAGGAGAGGGACCGCCTCAGTGTTGTCAGATCTGCTTCTATTTAGGGCCAG